CCACTGCCCCCTGATGGCGGCCGTGATGGGTCGTATTTTCCAGAATATGGCCGCCAGTGGACACCAAAAAGACATCAGAAGTTAGATAAAACCGAGAAAGAATTGATATTTTTATGTTCATTTATGTGATCATATAGTTTCTTTTTCAGAATTTCTTTCCACGTCCTGTATGATGAATATAAATTGGTCACACCTTTTGGAACCCTAATACTTGCCCTTTTGCAGTTTTTGCACTTGCACCCCAATATACATATAATCGGGTCGATTCTGTTCGGATCTTGTTATAACATTGCTAAGATAGTAAACTTGCTATGATCATAATATATAACAATATTGCTATGAAGTTCTGCATTCTGTTTGCAGAATAACTGCAAGATTGGTTATAAGTTCAAGTGATTGCAATATTGTTGAAAAATTGAGAATTTTTGAGCTGACAACACTGTTCTGACAACACTGTTTTCAACTGCCATCATTTCATGAAGAAGAAGAGTCATTTAGTCAAATTAGTCTGTCCTGCTCTGACTTCAAAATTATATTGTTCAAATTGAGAGATTTATTTGTATTTGCTGAATCGTCGTTGTGCGACTGCTGCAAGTAATTAATCATGTCCCCGAAATGAGAAAACAACTAAAAGCCGGATGAAAATATTCGTGATTTTTTTCAAACATTTTTGCAAAATAGCTTGATAAACTATCCATCAGGCAACTGAAATGGTTTTCTTCTTTCTCTGCTATGCCGAAATTGTAGTGTCATATTCCCTCTACAAATTGGAACTTCAAGAAATGGTTTCCAAGTAGTTGGTCACAGTAGTGTACCTTTCCTATATGTTTGTTATCACCATTCTAAGTTTTTCAATAATTCTTCTACAAATTGAAATTTTGAGCAAGTATGATCTTTGCTTTGAGGAAAGGTTTCCGAGTAGTCAGTGACACAAGTAAACTCTCATATGTTTTTGATCCACTATTTTCTGAATTTTCATACACTTGGAAGAAATTGAAGTGCAAAAACAAAGAATCCATTACCTTGTTATAAGATAGCAAGCACAAAATTGATGTTGCCGAGATAGCAAGAAAGCTGACCAGATGTCATTACTTGACAGATCATATTGCTAAAAATCGATGATTAGAATTCCACTTTTTCGAATCTTGCTAGGATGGCAACCATATTGCTATTTGCAAACAGAATCGACCCGGTCAGCACGACGCGGCTGGTGGTTTAGTGCCCAAAGTGGGACACACCGTACCTATATTATGCGATTGAAATGAACAAATTACACAAACAGGGAGGCCAAGGAAAATCCGAGATTGAACAAATCCAGCGAAACAGTCGCGCAAGTATCGTTGAAGTAAACGGCGGACCTCTTTTTGTAGCACATAGTAGTTTCGCGGACGATCTAGTGGTTCTGCTGGCGAGAAAGTTGCTACATAACACAACAGTCTTGCCAAACACGGTGATAAGTTATTGTTCGTTATTGTGAAGCAGCATCCGTTCATGATTTGAGGCACATACGGCTAATTTTACGGCCAAAAACACGGTGGGTATTGAAAATCAGTTAGCTATACCAGTTTCAGTATGGTTTAATTGTAGAGCACCGTATAGAACATGGTATTGTTACTCGCAAAGTTCACAGATTCTGTTTTGGTCTCTTGATATAGCTACTGTTAAAAATTACATCAACCTGATGCGACTTGATAAAGGAAGAATCCTTCTTCCATTCATTATCCAAGTTCTACTTCTTTTTCTACTTGAGTTATAGGTATATAGGTAGTATATCCTCTGGTGCATCAAAAAGATCAGATAATCATTGCATTCAAGCATATTAACTGCTATCAAATAACTATTTATATATCAAGGGAGCAAAGGTAACCATTATTTCCTCACGCGTGTGAAGTTTGATTATTTGCATTAAACACACATGGGAGGAAATGGACCTTTATTACTTCCAAAATATATACAGGGTAGAGACTTTAACTGGAATGTATTCGCTATTGGGTGATTTTTCTGAAGATTAGCGAGACACGTCAACGTTTAAATGTATTTACCTACATTTGGCGAGCAATATGTAGAATATAACCCTTCAGGGATAGCTTGCGGATCTATAAAATCACTGAAATACAATAGCAGATAGCAGTTGTAGCAAAAAATTGCCATCAATTGTTCGACACACATTTTGAGCGATTGATACGTTGAAAAAAAAATTTGAATATGCAACTTTTAAACGTATGAAAAACTAACATCTGATTACTTCGCTGGATTCCTCTTTCCACCAGCTTTCCAATGAAGGGTCACAAGCCATAGGGTTAGGTTGCAAAAAGTAGGTGAATACATTAAATCGTTGATGTATGTCGGGAATTTCCAAAAAAAATATTGACCTCCCCGTTAACGAATTTAACGAATTTATTCCATCAGTTATAAAAAAATTGTGCTTCAAGCGGTCTATGCCTCGAGTCTCGATTCAAATCAGTGAGTTACATGATCTAAGGCTACAGAAAGTATTTGACAATTAACGCTTCTGTCACATTGAATTTGTTTAAACCAATTTGTTTTACCTTCCACGGGAGGTAATATTTCTTCTCCTCCCATGGGAGTAATTTGACTTTCAAGCAAAATTTAAAGTTTTTATTCAAGCATACTCAAATAATACATGAGATATCATTAGAATTCTACTATTCAAAATTAAATTCGTTGATTTTCATATTTTGGCGAAGGACCCACGCCGAAGTGTTTCAAGCTCGGTTTTAAGCTCTCGAAAATATGAAATACTTAATACATACCTATAAATAATTCAATTCAAGTTTGTCTTATTGTGTTTATTTAGTATGATTCTAAGAATATACCTATTTCGCAGCTATTTCAATAATTCAGTATAATTTAATTATTTAATATATTACCTATACATATATTCCCAAGGATGTTTCATATATTCAAAAACCTACCAATAGAAATACTCTGCTCAGTAATGACCTACTCAAAGGTAATGATAATTGTTTTACAGCTGATAGTGAAATAGGTATGCCCAATACGTAATTACAAAATAACTTATCAATAATTATTATCGTCTATATAATCGATGGCCAATAAGAGCATGCAGTATAACTTTTAATTCCTATATACAGAGGAAGTCGAGTGAAAAGCGGAAAATATTTAGAAGCGTCATTCATGAATGATCGTACACGTACAATCTCGAAATGTTTATAATAATAGAAACATTGACCCATACGCAATGTGAAAATGCTTACCTATCGTAGGTAAATATCAATAATCCAACAATGATACTGATGACAGGCTCATTGAACAACAAAAAATATGTTTTTCACTAAATAGAATGTGAGTTTCACATTAGGAACTTACTACTTGAACCAGTTTTTTATGAAAAATATTTGTTGTGTCAAAAATGTAGTGTTGCAGTCATGCATGGTACTATGGAATTATTATTTCTTATTCTGAAATTGAATTCTCATGGTTCTCATATTGATTCGTCCTTTTTCCTGTCACAGAAAAAAATAGTGTATTGTACACGGAAAAAATATTATACTGCGTCGGGAGACAACACAACCTGGAGCTAAAATCTACTACTTTTTTCCCTTGTACAATAAAAATAACTATTGTTCTCTCATTACCTGTATACCGAACACCATATGATATAATAAAATTCTCATTGTTGATTGGGAAAGTATTATTTTGCATTAGATTTAGTTCATGAATTCGATCTACCTACCTCAAGCCCCCCGTCATACTTTCTGAACATCAAGAATAGGTGTTGTTTTCATAATTAGTTGTTATTTCACCTAGATTTGTCTAAATTTACTCCATCTGAATATAGTTGCCTATCTATATACCGAAAGATGTTGAGCATTGCATGATTGGCGACTTACGAAGTGATACCGTGCGTATATATACAGGGTGGCATTGAAATAAGTGCAAATATTTCAAACACTGAGAAAGCTCGACGTGTAGGTACTATCGAATCGCAGTAATCTCTGTTCAAACTTCCAGGCGGTATAGGCACGATCACGCGGATTTCAATCATTTAAATTGTTTTTTAGTGGCGTACTCAATTTTTTTTTCTCGTATTTTGTTCAATTTTTGGGATGAAATTTCTCGTTAATTAGAGAATTAGAAAAAATCTGATATCATGGGAATATTCCTTAGACTGTATCATATTAATGTGCTGAATATGTGCACTTATTTCAAAAACACCTTGTATACCTATGAGACATCGCAGCCACATCTTAGAGAATTCAATGTAGAGCCGTAGATTGTAGATTGTAGATGGGTCGTATAGGCTGGGAGACCTCTGGATCACTGCGACCTAGAAGATCTTGGGATTACCCCTATCTAGTTTTGGTCCTCTAACCCTAGACTTCTGATGAAGCCTACAATTTTTCTGACTGTTGAATTTTCCACCTCAGCAGGGGTGAGATAGACCTGTTCTAGGTGGTTCAGCCTTTGGCGGACTAATACTTCACATGAGCAAAGTATGTGTTCCGAGGTTTCGGTCGCATTGTTACAAAAGCGGCAAGTGTCAGTCTCCGCCAGGCCCATCTTTTTGAGGTGGTACCTCAGAGGGCCGTGTCCTGTGAGAAAGCCTGTGATAAGCTTCAGCTCTGGTTTACTGAGGCTGAGTAGCTCTTTGGCTCGGTTCTGCGAATGGTTGATGCACCTTTTCGCTTGTCGTTGACCTGGAGTTGCTCTTCAGTAGAAGGACTTTTCAATTTCTTCCCATTTCCTGAGTTCTTCCTTTAGGTGATATTTGCTTATCCCACAAAAAGGCTCAGGACCAAAAAGTGCAGATGCTGCACCTTTTTTTGCAAGGCGATCAGCTGCCTCATTTCTTTTGATTCCTTCATGGCCTGGAACCCACATAAGTGTGACTTTGTTTTCCTTTCCCAGTTGCATGAGTGTTTCAAAGCAGTCCCATGTGATCTTTGATGTGATGTGTAGAGCCGTAGATTACCTACTGACAAGCCTACTAATTTGTATTTTTTGTTTGTTTGTAGAGAATGACGGTCACGACGTTAGCAACTATCAAACACGAGATAGCAACAGACGACAATGGCAATGAAACCTGCTGTACATCCGCAAAGGTGAGTGATCTTTTCAAAAGGAACATGCCTTGCATCTTCAAGCCGTTTCTCTACTTTCTCCTCAATTATAATGAAACTGTTGATTCGATTCGTAACGGAATCTTATACACAAGATCGACCGACGTATAATATTAATACGTGTATTTTCATTTGAAAAAAATTGGTGCCAATTGAAATCTCTCAACTCTTATTCAAGGATAAGCAGCAGTGCGCTGAGAGAAATTTACATCTTGTTCAATAATAGGATCGGTATACAGTGTGCCCCAAAAATATATTTAGACGGGATATATAAATATACAGGGTGTTTCAGTTTTCTGTAGCAGGACTAACAGCTTGAAGAAGACATTTTTTTAAGATTTACAGGGTGTCAAAGTTTCAGATTTTCTTTATGTTTTGTTTTTTCTAGTTTTAATTATAATGGTGTTCAAAAAATCAATTTAATCTTGCAACTGAATTTCATTTGGTATGGAAGCTTTCGGTCATTCTATTTTCCAATAAAATGTTTAAGAAATATCAAATAAGTGTGTTTGAGAAATATCGGTTTTATTACAAGTAAATTATTTTTGGCATTTATCTCGAGATCCATACAGTTTTCGAAAAATTTACAGGGGGGCAAGAAGTTTCCAAATTGAAAGGACAATCTGAATCTATGTCCCATTGAAAGAAGAGACGGCACTCAAAAAAGTTCGACAGGGTTAAATTGGGTACGACCCCTGGAAGTCTATCACCCTGTAGGTATTCAAAAATGCTCAATGGCCTAAAATATTGAATTTTCGAAGTGTATTAGGTGTATCAAATTTCAATCATTTATTCCGAAATATGTAGGAGAAAATTCAAAAAACATAAAAAAAATCTGAAACCTGAATCGGAAACGAAGCTCCCACGCATATATATTTGTTTGAGATTTTCATCTTGAAAAAATGTCTCCTTCAAGCTGTTAAAGTCCTGCTATAAAAAACTGGAACACCTTGTATATATAAAACTACCTCTTCAAAATTGATACCATCATTCAACATCTTTGTTTCAAATAACCTACATCACAATGATTACCTTCGATATACAATCTACTCATATATACAGGGTGTAATTTAAGTATGTGGCCAAACTTCAACAGTTGATTTTTCGAGTGATTCCAAGTCGGAAAGTTCATGTAAGCATAGGTCCGGAAATACACCGTTTTCAGGATACAGGGTGTCAAAAAGATTAATGAAAAATCCGTTTTCCGTAAATATCGCAAAAATCTCTGATCCAACTTTGTTAAAATATTGCAGTGTTATTTGTATAGTAGTGAAATGTTAATTAAGCTATGACTAGAATATTTTTCAAAAATGTTTGACACTGCATTTTGAAAATAATGCACTTTCGGAGCTATGGTCACATGAACTTTTCGTCTTAGAACCACTATAAAAATTGTTCCTCAAAGTTTGGCCACATACTTAAACAACACCCTGTATAATTGAGATTTTATGAAAAAATACTTTTCGTATTCTGTTGCGTCAGATTCTGCAGTTTCGATAATAATTCGTATCCCATGGATACAATTCAATATTACAGCCATCAATAATATGAAATTGAATCATCATTGAAACTAAATACGAAACGAAAAATTGAAATTCATTCCTGTCTACTATCTCAATTCGTATGGGCGTTTATAACCAACTTCAAGAAATTATATGAGCATTTGAAACAAAAGAGAGTTCATTGGTTTCGAAAAATAAAGAGAAACTGAAATTGTAAAAAATAGTTTCCTATCGTGCATAAAAATTATTGTCAAAGAACTTTGACATCGAATTGTTGTTACTCACATGCTATTGTTTCATTATCCATTGCACAGTTTCATAAAATTATTCCGTTACGAGGGGAATACAAAAAGTTTTTTTGTAAAATCTGAATTATATACATATATGACTAAATTGTGGATTGAAAATATGATTGAGATATATCGTTAGACAGATAATTCCATTCTGGATCGTAATATCCAGAAAAAAATATACTTTGTATTTGAAGTAAAAGAATTGGATGCCCTTCCAGTCAAACCAGAAGTGTCATATTGCGTCTGATACTATCAAAATCATACACTGATGCAATCAAATCGATGTGCCAAATTTGAAACATCCATTCAAAATAGCAACGAAGATACAGGGGAGTAAATTGGTTCCTGGTCACCCGCGGTATAACCGATCAGAAAATCACAGCTGGACCTCAGTAAAAACCTCACAGACTCTTTGTTAATTATTATATTATCGATAAATATTATTGATATAGTTGTATCAATCGCAGAAGGTAAATTTCTGATATAGCAGCCATTTATATAGTCTTCAAGAAAAATCTTCCGATTTCGATCCTTCATCAGGATTTCTATTCTGAAACTTCCAACTTCCTTTGTGGCAAATCAATATCTTTTACGAAAACCTGAACATAATGGCCTTAAAAACTTCGAAAATCTGCCTTGTGCGAATGTTACAATATACTGATACTCAGTGAACACTCCTTATTTGCTTGGAATATGAGAGAAAGACCTGAGATAAGGAGTCAATTTTCTTTATATAAAAGTTCCAATATTTTGAAAACCGCGAGGTATTTTTTTAAGTTGAATTGGGATTTTCTGATAGGGGGAAAAAAGAAATTTGTATTGGTTCAGTTGAGAAATGTAACACACATCTTTCTCTTAGGTACAAAATATTAAATAATTCGTTGAAAATTCAAAGAGAGAATTCAAACTCGAATAATTCTTCTCGCTCCCATTTTTGTTCCATTCAGGAGTTCTGGTAATATCATCACTGACAAAATTGATATAAAGAATAAGATTAAATTTATGAAAAATTTAAAAATTATGATTGAAGAGCTTCAACTGTCTCGATGATGGTCAGGTTAGGTTAGTATAGAAGTATGAGGGTGTTCAACCTCATTAGGAATTTAAACAACTTTCATCTCGATTTTGTGTCAAGTTCTTCCATAAAATGTATTGAATTCGAGGAGAAGAAAGTGTAAATCACATCATAAACTGAATGCTGAATAAAAATTTTAGTAGGTCATATTCATGGACATTACTTATATCATCATGTTTCATTTTGGCATCAATTCACTAAATCTTTCGGAACTATATTTATCCAATTTATATGATGGCCCATGCAGATTAGATTATACAGAGTGAATCAAATCTAACCTGCCAAACTCCAAGCACTTCTTCATGATACGATGAGGAAATGCAAATATCTGCAGGACTACGAACTGAACTGATTATTTTTTCAATTTACTCATAGATTAAGAACCGAGATGAATATACAGTCAGATGCAATGGACATGTCACACATGGGCGGTGACAGCACTTCTAATGGGCGTGTACACCTCAGTAGAACTTTCAACTCAAACCATGTTTATAATGATCCTTTTATACATAAATAATGATTGACGACATAATTCGATCGAAAAATTAACTGAAATGTTTTATTTTTGGACATAAATAATAGTACCTTCTGAAAACGGACCCTCTTATGACGTAGAAACCTCATCTCGCCATAGTTAAAAGAAAATACCAAACGCCCGACACATCATCGCCTCGTTTTCAGAGGTCCGAAAAATCGGGGATTTCAATAATTTTTTATAAAACGTAGGGAGCTCACAGCAAGAAACGGTTTGCGGTGGTGAGTTGGTTTGGGTGAATTCTATCGAATTATGAAATAATTTTTTTTGTGATAAGAGCCCATTGCTTTTGAAATAAAAGAAAGCTAACACCATCCAACCACGACATATTTTTTGCATCTGACTGTACAATAACTCAAAAATTTAGGAAGGAGTGTATGAAACAGTGGGTGAGAGTTTGATTGAATATGCCTCGGAATATGCCTCTAAGTGAAGTCTAGATTTATTAACTGTATCTATATTTTTAGTAATCCAGTATAGCTAAATAATTAGGTACAATAAATATTATTGAACTTGAACTACCTTATAGTAGGTACGTGATGGAATAACAATGACAATATTAACAATGACCTGAAAATAACCAAAAGATAATATATGTGGACTCGTCATAATAAAGTATGTAAAAGGAATTCCAAGTTCGAAATCAAGTGGTGAACTGAATACACAATTACGTAAACATTACGAAAACGACATTTTTATTGTTTATTCAAACATATTATTACATAATTATTATAGGATTTACATGAATTAATGTCCAAAAAATAGCCAATGGTACCTATGACTGAATAGTACATATCTCAAGAAGTGAGATTTGAGAAGTGGAAATATAGACCTTTCACATTTCTAGTTCTTCAGAAATATATCTGATATCATTCCATCACATCACAAGCAATACCAGTCAGACGTACGCGACAAGCCCATTGAGCACATCCTTCCGTCGTCAATCTCGAGATATGTCGAACAACTCTTTACCAAAACTCGTTTTCTTATAGAACGGCAAATCTCTAGAATTTTTTGCCAAAGGATGAAGTATTTCTTTTGAACTTTAAATCCCCAAAATTAGAAAAAAAACTCTACTATACCTTCCCTATATCCTCCTAAGCTACGCACAGACTAGGGTTTCCCTTTTGTGAGCTCCAAGAAATAACAAATATTTTGTGTCGTCATAATGAAATTTCAAGAGTCAAAATCAGACTTATGAAATATGTAAGTGGAGTGTGTTGACGCAACTTTATGAAAGTTTTTCTTCTTGATCCAACTACTTTAATTGTTATGTTAAAAGTAATGGTAGACGATGTAATGGGGATGGATAACTATGTTTCTCACAACAGGGCAGTCACCTTTCAACTTCCAATGAAGAAAAAACTTCCTTTGAAAAATATCCAGATCAAAAACTATTGACTTTTCTTGACCTTCTACGGCCCTCCTCATTCATTGGATCCACCACTGAATAGAATTTAGTGAAACATGGTTCGATAGACCAAACATCACATTGTATCAAAAAATTCAAACGAGACTCGTCCCCATTCAGGCATTCAATGATGCACTGCAGCACTGCCCATTATAACGCAATTCCCCATTGTTCCACTACAATGTCGTCTCCACAACAAAAGAATCTGCTATCAGGCTAGCAGGAGCCACAGGAACCAGCAAAAATTCCACAACAATAACAATTTCGAACGATTCCTGCTGTCTCATTTTTAAGCGCTTCTACATACACACAGACACACACTTGCGATGTTGCTTGGTTTCGAAACGCGGCCGAGTATGGCAGGAATTTAGCAGGAATCCACCTCGAACCGTTCAGACTTCGTCGTAACAGGAGCGCAGAACATCGAAGAACTGTTAACTGCGCTCGGTTGTGCGACCAACATTCCTGCAAGCAGAGGGAATACGATACCTTCTTTCGTTTCCTGCTATCCTGCTGCGAAACGGCGCTTCTCGACGCTGACGCCACAAGACTGACAGCAGTGACGGCTGCAACAGCAGGTAAACTGCTGCCAGATACTAATAGTCTTCGATTGACGATAAGTTGGCTGGTATCATTAGTGCTTGTTCTGTCACCAACCTGTTGCTTGTGGTGGAAAATGTGGTATCGTGAAAAGTTAACAGTGTTGCAGGAATAGAGGGAGCACACTGAAACTTAAAACTGTGAGGCTTTTTTATGGCGGATAGTAAATGAGTAAATGATCGATTTGTTTTATATCGATGGTGTTTTCCATGCTATATATTGGGTGGTTCTCAAGTGAATGTATATAGAAGTATACCTATCAGATTCTTGTTCTGATGAAATATAATATACTAATGGTAAAAATGGAGAAAGTTGAAGTTTTAAAAGTAATTTTCTGCAATCACCCTAACGTTTTCGGGTATAAAAAATCATAATTTGGTATCTATGTAAGCCACATTATTTGTACTAAACATTTATTTCAAACATATTAAATACGCTTCATATAAGCAGAGAAAAGTTGAAATTGTTGATAACTACAGAACTCAGTATAGTTTTTGAAAATTTTGGGAATTATAGCATTATAGGTCGATAATACACTATAGAGTTTGAAAACAGTGACCAATTGTTTCAGTCAAAATTACGCGTCTTCCATATTCAACTCTAGATTCTTGGCCTAACTATACTATATATGGCAGTTCGGACACTTCGGGCACAGTGGACATTATTAACAAAAGTCGATATCTAAATTTTTTTACAGAATTCAATTTGAGTTGACAATTTCAACAAACTTTTGTGGTTTATTAGAAAGTATGCGATGTCCATAGCTGAGTCTATATATTTTAAAATTGTTGATGATGAATGTATTTCAATAGCACTTTTGTTCCCAACCCTTACTATTCTTGGACCTTGGACTCATAAAGTATGTCATGCCGTTAGTATAAACCGAAACATATTCATCTAATGGGCTCATTGTTAATTGACTGATTTTCATTAACGTAAAAAGTATTTGTAGAGATTATAAATTCGACCATCACTGTTTGCTGTATTCCTGCTACAAAAATCTTTGAAGTAGGAAATAATGTAACAACCGACGGCGTTCCAGCTAACTACACGTGACCAACTATCCAAGAAGCCACAAGAAACCTGTTCGATTGTTTTGTTCATCTAACCGTTCTTATGTGTTCCTGCTACCAGTGATCAGCATCACAACGTGGCATTGAAGACAATGAAATCTTGCTTATACTAACAAAAGTTTATGTACAGATTCAGGATTTGTGGCATCGTCCAATTGGGCGATACTAGTATCCTGCTCAGGTTCTGATAGTGTGATATGAGATTTGATTATCGTCTCTGCTGTTTGCTTGATTGGTATAGATATTTGAAGAATTGTTTGATATACCTCTCTGATTTCGTGAGAAGATAAGATGCTCTCCAGTAGGTATAGCGAAATGTTAAAAGAGTGGTCAAATATTTTCAAATTGACTAGCCGAAAAGCTAAAGAGTTTTTAGGTGTAACTGAATTTTCTTATGTGCCTGTTCATGTAAAATACAATTATATATCATTCATCAACTGTTATACTAAATTATGATCGACAGCTAGTAAATTTGACGTAACATTGTCTTCAGTTACTCTTCATATTGATGTGCGCAGTTTTTTCCTCTCTCTCTTGGAAACCCGCCAATGAAAATTTGCCGCTCTACGCCAGGGCCGGCCGAATGGTAAATCAGGGCCTGTGCCTATTAACCGCCAAAAAGTAGTTTACCTATCTACATACGGACACTATAAAACACTGATGGTTCCCAACGACTATTTTGGAGAGTCATTGTTAAATTTTGGCGGAGTTCTGAACGGCAGTATTGGCGAAGTTTCTCTACGCCAAGTTTGGCGAAGGTGCTCGACGCCATTTTTGGGAAAGGTTCAAAGAAAGTTTCAACGATTTCCAAACTACATCACCCAAAAATGTACATGAATGTGATTTCATATAGAAAGATTTCAACCATAGATTCTAGGAACAAAAGAAGTAAAAAAGATCAAATAAACATGGGTCCGACCCTTGATTATATACAGTGTGAATACTCAATGGTCCGACCAAATTTTGCACATGTACCTAACTGTTTATGCCCGATTTGGAAGTGTTTCATTGAACGATGCGACACTTAATTGAAAAATAATATGTTAGGTGCGTTTTATCAAGAAGCAGACTTTCAAAATCGATTTATCTCGAAAATGGTCAGTGCTATCTAAACTAACCAAAAGTACTTATCATTTTCAAGTAAAAAGAATGATATTTTATTATTTCTTGGTCGAACTGCCGAAAATTGCATAAACAAAGGAGTTGAGGGAAAAAGTGCATCTAGCATCACATATTTCTCATTTTCAATAGACATAAAAAGTTAGATCGATACAAAATTTGGTAATTTTATCACAGAGGATTTTGACAATATTTACAAAAATATACCATCATCTTGAGCTATCCTTCAGATGGTTATAACTCCCCAGGAGCCCCTGGAGAAAATAATTTCTGGAACCATGTTTATATGTTTTTTTTTACTATTTCTGTTCCTGGAATCTGCATGATTGATATATTTCCATGTAATTTCGGGAAAACCTGAGAAGTTTTTCTCATTGTTATTCGATAACAAATTATAACTTCATTTTTGGTTACCAAAACACAATTTTTATTTTCGAAAAAGTATAACTCCAGAATGTGAAAATATCTATAGATTTTCATGATACCATACCAAAGAAAGATCACATAATCGACTAACTAAGTCAGAGTAATCCACAGAATTCAATTTTTGATGAGTTTTGCATTTTTTGTTTTTGTTTTAGAAATCTGGCACCGCCGACTACACAGAATCACTTTTGGAAAATCTGACGCCAGCCCTGTCAGAAAAAGACGAAGACAAAGGCAAAACGAGGAACGAAGAAATCCACGATGATATTTATTACGAAAAAGCTCGGACCTTGTTGCAATTCGAGGACGCACCTGACTATATGAAGCATAACCCTTATATTCGGACTGGATACCGAAGAATTTTATCCACCAACTTATGTCTCGAAAGGTGAAAAACTCAAAATCTCAAAATCATACAATATTCATATACAACACCATATTTCATGCCGGTCGAAAATGTTGTCGATATCATTTGGACGAGATTTCTATACAGTGTCATTCATACAGTTGGCTTTATACCCAGACAGCAGTGACAGCACAGAATATTCAGTGGATATTCTGACAACGTTCAAATATACTCATCTTAGAATGTTCTCAGAATGATCATAGAATATTCTCATTCAACAAAGAATATTCAACAAACTTTCATTTTAAAATATTCTAAGAATATTCTTTTGAGCAAGCTTTTCCAACTTTCTTCCTTCTCCTTCAATATATACTAGGAATATTCTCAGAATATTTAAAACAGTCCATTCCGAATGTTCATATAGAAAGTCCCTAGAATATTTTTATCATATTGTGAGGATAATCTGAGATTATTGAAATATTCTTGAAGTATATCCTATGGACCTTCTAATTTATTTTGAAATTCGACTTACACGTTATGTTTCTTGCTTAAAAAAAAAATTGGTAAATGGCCTACTTGATCGGAGAATGTAACGAAAGTCAAGTGACTCCGAACGTGTAGGCCATTTTTCATCTTTTATAAAGAAAAAAATCAACGCCCAAGTCGAATTCCGAAATAAGCTATGCTTGAGTAGGTATTCACCTATATGCAGTCAAAATTTATTAGCCTTCACAATATCAGAGATTATATATTGTGATGATACTCTGAGAATATTTAAATATACTTGAAGTAGGTATATCCTATGGACGTTCTTATTTATTTTGAAATTCGACTTCCACGTTATGTGGTAAATGGCCTACTTGATCGGATAATGTAACGAAAGTCAAGTGACTCAACGCCCAAGTCGAATTCCGAAATAAATTATTATTAAAAGCAAATGCTTGAGTATTCACCTATATGCAGTCAAAATTTATTAGCCTCCACAGAATATTAGTCAGGTTATATTCGTCAAGACAAATATTTGAAATTGATAGACGAAAAACTCAAAGTTATCTCCACAACTTTTATCGAAATGATAAAAAATCATTGAATGTCCAGTTGTGTGCATAAACAAGTAGTACGAGGTTTGTAAACCTGCCTATGATGTTCCAGATTTCATTTAAAAGTAGTACACGTACACATTTGCCCATTACAGACAGAAATAATTTGAATTTTGACACTACTCGTCAGAGTCGATAAGAAGATTAATCAAGATTTACAAGCCTGACTCACACTAGCCTATAACTGCTGTACGACTGGTTCATGCACACAACTGTACATGTTCCGGGCTTATATAAGCTCATCATCAGCCGATAATTAGTTCAACGTTCAAGAAAACAACCGGTATTGACTTAGGATATAGATGCAATGTATTGTTTTTTCCCAATTTTTCCAATATTTTTTTTGCGGCTTTTTATAACGCCGACGAATGAAAATAAAATATCACAGTAGTAGCAACTGTTATCAAGTGACGTATGGTTTCCATAGCCAACTTTTCAATTTTTGGCTTTCATTTTGCTTCCAAGGCCTACTCGGTGAATTTCAATAATAATAATTTTCTGATCTAGTTTCTGGAAGTTAGATACCAACTTGTGATATGTCATCTGAAAGGGAATTGAATGCTGATGCTGAATAAAGCGAAAAGAAAAAAAAAAGGGTTTCCATTCAAAATAAGAAAGTTGATGTTACTTCCGGTCAGACCGGAAGTCAACTTCGACATGTCAATATGCTCAAATTCTAGCTCTTATGTCATTTTATCGACGCTCCAAATTTCACAAACCTACTTCATACAATAACTGAGATATTCCGTAGGCAATATACTTCCGTAGCCACCAGGTATAAGCCCTAGAAAATATCAGTAGACATTTCTGTTCCACCGAGAATAAAAATAACTTCAAATAATATCGGCGTTTTATATCACAGTTCATCTGCTTCAAGAATAATATCATTTTGTTTCATTGAAATTGGAAACATTTCTGGTCTACCGTGTATGGCTAGGTGTATGGTATACTTTATATATATTCTTTTTCTTTTAATTTTCAGTATATTCTGGTGGACAAACGAAACGATCAACATATGGTCCCACATATTCGGACTTATGCTCTTCATTAGTTTGATAGCATATGACTTCTGTATACTGAAAGTTCAAGCTACTTTGTCAGACAAAATTATTGTTTTTGTATTTATGTGCTGCTTTGTGGTAAATACAGATCAAAAGTTCAAATCAATGTACATTGTATTAATGTTTGTTTTCTTCTAGGCGTGCATGACTATGTCAGCATTGTACCACACCTTTATGTGTAGATCAGAAAAAGACTGCAACACTTTTTTATCGTACGATCTCTTTGGAATAGCTCTGTCTTTACTGGCTATTTACACCTCTGGAATTTACTATGCTTTCTGGTGCGACACTGTGAGTGAAGTTTCATCAAATATTTGAATTTTTACATCCCCTGTATATACGAAATAACTTCCCCTAACTTCGATTTTTTGAATAGCTTTTCATCGGTTCATACAAAAGATTTTTTTACCCTCTACAACTCATTCTGCACCTCTGTTGAGAATTCAAATAATTTTTATGAAAAAGCTAGTCGAACTAACTATATAATAACCGCATTTTTTTAATTTTTGACGTCAATTGCAATATATCTATCAGCTTTCAGAAGAAAAATTCATGCATCATTACTTATTACATCATCAACGAGCGTTTATAACTTACTTACTTACTTATTCTTACTTATACTTACTTACTTACTTACTCACTTACTTATACTGTATTTGTTGACAAATTAATCTAAAATATTTTATCAAAATTGTAAGTCTAGAGGGTTTCGAGCAAGAAAGGTACTGTCTCACAAACTAAACCTTTTCCAATTTTAGTTCAAAATGGTCAATTGCATTTCTAAATTGTCATTTAGATTTCCAAAAAGCATCATTTGTATTTCAAATTAGTCAATTTAATTTTGAAAAGTATCAAATTTATTTCAAAATTATCAATTCAATTTCAAAATGCGTGTTATTTCAAATTATAGTCATTTCAAAAACATCAATTGTATCTCAAAATTATCCAATTAATTTCAAAAACTAACACTTTATCATTTGTATTTCAAAAAATATCAAATGTATTTCATAATGTATCATTTGAATTTCAAATCTGAAAAAGCACAGGCAATGGTGATATTTTCATTCCCTATATATAATATTGGAAAGCTTCTGGCTTATTTGGTTCCTGTCATTGTGGCATCATCAATAGAAATGCTTAGTTTTGAAATTGAAATGATGGATTTTGAAATTAAAATGACTTATTTGAAATACAATTGAAGCATTTTGAAATTGAATTGATAATTTTGATATTGAAATGATAATTTTGAAATACTTTTAATACTTCTTGAAATTAAAATTACTGACTTGAAATACAATTGATACTTTTTGAAATTAACTTGACGCTTTTTGAACTAATATAGGAAAAGGTGTAGAGCATGGAGCATGCAGACTATCTACAAAATTTCAAAAGTACGAATAATGAATTGCAATTTTTTCCAGTATTGGCAGATGTTTTACACCATGACAGTAACTGTAATATTCGTTTTTGCGATGACCCTACAAATTCCAAGCCTCAATGTCAATTCTAACATAAAAATGTTAGTATTCGCAGCATGGGGAGCTTATGGTGTCATACCAACCATACATTGGACTTTCCATATGGGAGGACTTGAAAATCCCGTTGTCAGTGTAAGTTATTTTTATTTTCAATATCATGAATTAGATAAACTTTGGTTTTTTTCTTTCACCACCCAGTATAGTAACAGCTCTCACCACTACTATAAAAAGTATTATATAAATACAAAGATGAATAATTTATCAAAACATTATAATCCCTGTCATGTCCATCAAATAGACGGAAAATGCGCGAATGTTCCCCCTCTTTTGCCCTAGCTGTATATTTTGTGGAGAAGTTGATCTCTTTTTTATACAGAATGTGCATGAAAGGTCCATCAGAGTTGTTAGCGGAGTGACAGAAAAATTACGAAAACAATAAACTGATAAATTTCTAGGTATAAGATTCGACTAGATTGTACATCATTATCTATGAAAGAAACTGAAGATCCTGTTGAAGTTGATCTTCAAATGTCTACTTCCTAAATAAGCAAGCAAAGCGAGAACAAATATAGTATTTTCCACTACTAGCAGATATTTTCCTAGTACGTTTTTACTGCCGTAAATCAATTTGTCATTGAAAGTCATTTGGAGCTATGAGTGAGGACATTTCAAATATATCAGAATAACATTCGGAGCTCTTATTATTACCAAAAGTACAGAAAAACGATATTCTCAGTTAGATGACATTATTCAAATTTATCACAATACCTATTGTTTGTTTTAGCTTCTTTTACCAAGAGTACTAGGAATGTACTTGATTAGTGCAACAGCCTTCCTGATATACATCACAAAAATACCAGAAAGATTTTCGGCGGGGCAATTCGACTACATAGGACATTCTCACCAATGGTGGCATTTTTTCGTGGTACTGGCCCTGTACTACTGGCATAACAGTGGGATTGTCTACATTGAGTACAGACTGAATCATGCTTGCCCAAACAAAATGAAGTTTGCATGATAATCTTCAATTAGCACTAGAACGATTTTTTTAATATGATCAGACACAGACATGAACACGTTTTCATCAGTGTGAACAACATCCTGAGTAACTTTCAGATCATTTTTCGATCAAAAATAACACTATCCTTTCATGTTTGTACTCATTTTCAAAGTATATTTTCTTAAAATGTAAATATAGATCGGAAAAAAATTGTGTAATGTGTTATTGTGTTATGATACTTCTTGATGACTATAATAGTGGAATAATTGTACTTGTACTGCCAATTTCCAATTCTTTGACCACAAGTTGACCTTATGTCAATATTATAATTATTTCATATGCAGAGATGTCTACATCCTGGAACTTTGTAGATTCACATTTATTCAGGATTTCAATCTGTGATACAGGAATATACAGGGTGATTCTCAACTTAAGAACAATTTTGAAACATTTTTCCTTATATGGATAAACTAGAGAAACAATATACTCAGGGTAAATTAAGTAATGTTATGAAATAAAATTTCCAAAAACATTTTTTTTCAGACTGATAACTTGATAACGTAATTTGCAATTGCATTTAATATAATATATTGATCCATATTTATTTTGAATGAATAAATGAATCCCCAATATAACTTACAATAAAAATGAAACTACTTGGCATTTTATGAGCACATGAGAAGTAGCAATCAATTCTTTTTCAAAATTTTATGATATATCTCAGAAAACCAAAAACTTTCACCATCCTTTTTTTGTATCATTAAACATTATTTACCATGAGCTATATTTTTGAAAGTGCATATTAGTTGAGAATCATGGTGTATTCATAACTGGTATAATTCCAAAAATTAGAAAATTACTACTAGAGCAGAAAAAACTTCTTAAACTCTTTTGTTTTTCAATTCAAACCAGTCTCAAACTAATTATGATTGTAATTAATAGTAATTGCTCCCAAACAAATAGCATAAAATGTCTCTATTACCAAATTCCAAACCAAACTTTGAAATCAATCATGTTCACTATCTCACCCAGGATAGGTAGCCAAAATGCCTCATGAACATATTTGTGTAGTAGAAGCATCTTACATATATTTCTGTATTATCCTTTGTGGAAACACATTTTGTTTTAGTGATTTCTTGCCACAAATTTTCATTATCATTGTAATTGACCAAATTAATTGTGTTCTAATCATTATTTTCTTCAATAAACTGATATTATGTTTATCAAAAATACATCATCTTATGAAGAACCAAACGAATTTAATTGCAAATATAAAACCATGGAATAATTTAAAGGCAAAATCAAGTATATCTTAAGAATCACTTGTCCTTACGATCAGCAAGAAGGGAATTGTGCATCCTTGTGATTTCTGCCTCTACCAATTCAGTCACTATGCTGCCATTCACATCAACAAAATTGGCAACACTTTTCTTAGAATTTGTGTCTCTACGCTGTTTTGTTTTACTGTCTATCACAGACAGGGTTAAGTTATACTTATCATCATACCTGAAAAAATAAGTAAAATGTATATTTTCAAAAACAAATGATCTTGGGTTTGAATCCAAAGGACTGCAGAACTTTTTCTGATGGCCCAAGAAAGTGTTTGAGATCACATGTTAAAAGGTAAGGCTCCTGTCATTCCTTGCTTGCACAAGTCTCTTGAGGATTTCTGAGGATTGCTCATAAGGGGGGCAACCAAATGAGGGATAGAACAATTTTTTTTGGAACAACAATTACAATACATAACAAGTGTTCCAACAAGGAACACTTGGTATGTTTGCATAGTACATTTATGGAGATATTTTTCAGTTCAAATATCAAAAACTGCAAGAACTTGGTGAACCATGAAACAAACTTATGGTAGAATTAAAATTGAGCTTGAAGGCTTGAACATAGTATATTGTATGCCTAAATATATGATGCTTACTTTTGCATATATGAACTAGCTTCCCATGTACATTCCTTCTTAGAACTATCTTTTTGGATACAAACTGCAAAAATTCCTTTTTCTTTGTAAGTAGTGTAGAGAGTCAAAATTCCCATCATGAAAAAATATGTTGCAACAGAGAAAATTAGAATTGGCCTGAAAAAAAAAAATTAATCAATGTGCATCTACATTACAAATTTGTCTAGAAATTAGGGGCACTTGGCAATTGCACTTTACAACTACCCAGGGCTATGAAGGGGTACCAAAATGTGTGTGACAATTAAGGTAAAAAAAACCTGAACATATGGTAGAAATTGAACTAAATGTGTACCTGGATTGTGGAAATGGGTACAAGTAATCCCAAATCAAAGCAAACATAGCTACACCAACTGCAATACCACATATAACCAGCCTTCCATCCATGAGAGCAAAATTTTCAATATAGTTGAATTTTTTTGTAAGTACCTACAAAAAAAGGGAATTGTATTGGTGCACAGTGTATTTTCTAAAACTGTCTTTGCATCAAAATATATTTGGAATGTGGAATAAATAATTAGATTGTACATACCTCTTTCACGGCATCATCTAGGGCATTTTTTACTGCAGAACCGTCCCATTTATTTATTTTTACAGGCTGAAAAAGAGAGGTTAATTATTGATCTGTGCTGAAAAACTACCTTGATCCTACTCTGATAGGCTACATGATATTTCAATATTCACCTTATCATCTTTTTCTTTGGATTCTTTCTCTTTAGGTGGCATTTTACAAAATTATTATGTAGTTTCAACAAAGTTTTGCGCTTCGCGATTGATGCCAGCAGCCAAAAACCGAAAACACATCAACATCAACGCAAATAGACACGTCATGCACGTCACACGTCACTAACGTCACACGTCAATTTGAAAATGTCTCTTCTTTTTTTTACATGAGCTCTAGTCACAGTAGTATTTACCCTTTTTCTTCCGAGTGATTTTGATCCATAATTATTGCATACTGATGAAGCGGACGTTATCTTGGATCAATATGATACCTAATTGATCAGAAAGTAGGTATATTTCTGTTGTAATCATCTCACCTTTCTATTGTAATTATCGCATAATTACGAAAGAGTAGAAGGGTCATCGAAAATAAAAAATCTAATTATTGCAACTTGTAACGTGCAGTAATTCAATTACTGCAACTTACAACTTGCATTAATTCAAAATAGTGCAACATACAACTTGCATTAATTGAATTACTGCAACTTACAAGTAATTCGAAATACTGCAACATGCAACTTGCAGTAATTTGAATCACTGCACCTTATAACTAGCAGTAATTCGAAATAATGCAACATACAACTAGCAGCAATTCGAATCACTGCAACTTACAACTGGCAGTAATTCCAACCCTCTTCTAACCAGTATTAGTACAAAAGGAACTGAATTACTTCAGTAAGATCTGTTAAATATTTTCTTCTTCACAGTCCAAGACTTCTGAGATGTATTTTCAAGGTGCTTTCACCACTGACTGTTATATTATGGTTCAATGTTAGCACAGCCATCAATTCCTTGTGGCTTAATCCCAACTGAAAATAAAATTGAACCAACTCATCCTGATCTATTCTATTAGGTACCCATGTAATTGTTGATATTATCATAAAATAGGATACTATGTATATGATTTGTTACCTTGACATTGAATATTATTGAATAAATTGTCTTCTTGAAATACAAGACTTGTCAGTCATTCCCTTATTAAAAATCTTCACTATTCATCTAAGAATTAACAAGTTCATCAGGTTATGGGCCCAGAACGTTCATAAAGTCGTCTGGAACAACTTGTGAGAAGATTTTGAAGGTATTTATCTGAAAGTTCCTTTTGTGATAAACATTCATATACCGAGTGTTGAAATTTGACGTCATGGCTAGTTCTTCAACTTTACCGTCCTTTGACAAGTTGAAAGGCAGTGAGAATTATAAAACTTGGAAATTTGCCATGGAGCTATATTTATCTGCCGATGATCTTTTTCGATATGCTGCTGGTTCAGTAGAAGATTTCGACGCTAATGTAGACCAAAAAGTCAGAGGAAAAATAGGTTTGATGGTAGAACCACAACTCTATGTACACTTGGTTGGAACGAAAACTGCTAAAGAAGCCTGGACAAATCTCAAAAAGATGTTCGAACCATCTGGTTTGATCGGACGTCTCAGCCTTCAACGTCAGCTTATGGCATGTAAACTTCATGATTTCAAAGATGTGTCATCGTATGTTTCTGAAATCGTCATGTTGTCTCAGCGATTATCAGATATGAATGCACCTGTAGATGATGAATACATTGGAGTTATAATGCTGAGTGGGCTTCCTATATCGTACGATCCATTGATCATGGCATTGGAGAGTAGCGGTCAGAAAATCACGAGCGAGTTAGTGAAGAGAAAATTATTAACAGAAGATCAGCGGAATAAAGAACGTGAGAGTAATGATACTGCTTTTGTAGTCAAGACTCAACAGAGATATCAGAAGGCGAATTCAGGAAGAAAGAAGTCGAATTTTCCTTTCAAATGTACACGGTGTAATCAAAAAGGGCACAAGCGGAGTGATTGTCCAGAGGAGAAGAATTCAAGACTTCCTGATTCTACGACAAAGGCAGCGTCTTCCTCTGCCATCAAGCAATGTGAGAATAAACGGGACTTCAGAGCTTTGTATACTGCATATAAGGCTGATAATGGAGCGAAAGAACATGGATGGTTTATTGATTCTTGTGCTTCTTGTCACATGTCGAATCGGCAAGACTGGTTGACAAACTTCCGTCCTGAGGTTTCTGAGGTAGTCGTAGCAGATGATGCTGTATTAAAATCAGTAGGTATAGGAGATGCTAAAGTTGTACTGAGTGATGGCGAAAAAACTATCACTAATGTAGCATATATTCCCGATTTGGCGGCAAATTTACTCTCAGTTTCAAAAATTGTTGATAAAGGACTGATCGTTGTTTTTTCTAGGAAAGGTTGTATGATGTATCATGAAAATGATTGTGATATACAGGGTCAAGTAAGGATTACGGGTTCTGAATTCAATGGTACTTACAAACTGAATCAACCATCAGGTAATATCACACAATCTGTTATGATAGCACATTCTTCACATCAATCAGCTTCAACAAATCCTGAAAAAATTGTTTCAAAAGACTTGTGGCATCGTCGTCTAGGTCATTTGGGTCAAAAAGGAATGGAGCAAATCAAAGGTATGGTTCTTGGTGTTGATTTTTCCAATGATAAGTGCATGAGCCCTTGTATTGCCTGTGTTGAAGGAAAACAGTCAAGGGCACCACTTGTTAGAACCGGAAAAGCCAACAAGAAACGTGCAAAAGAATTATTAGGAAGAGTCCATAGTGATTTATGCGGACCTATGGAAGAAAAATCTTTGGGAGGGTGTGTTTACATGCTAACATTGATTGATGATCATTCTAGGTTTATTTTTGTGTATTTCCTCAAACAAAAAAATGAAACTATGACAAAATTTCTTGAATATAAATCTTTAGTAGAGAATCAAACTGATAAAACTGTAAAGATACTGAGATCAGATGGTGGCGGTGAGTATGTTAACAATGTTATGAAAAATTTTCTTAAGGAACAAGGTATCAAACATGAAATCACCATGGCTTACACTCCAGAGCAAAATGGAATAGCAGAGAGGACAAATAGGTCTATTTGCGAAAAAGCAAGGTCGATGATGCAAGATACAAGGTGTCCAAAAAGTTTCTGGGCTGAAGCATGCAATACTGCTGTCTACCTTAAGAATCGAAGTCCACATGCATCCACTCAGGGGAAGACACCCATTGAAATATGGACAGGAGAAATACCCAACTTACGGCATCTAAGAGTATTTGGTTGTAAAGTTATGGTGCATACTCCTAAGCAGAAAAGAAAAAAATGGGATGCTAAGAGTGAACAGCATGTGTTCGTGGGATATTGTGATGACTCAACAGATGACAATTGCTATAGATTATTAGATAGTGATAATGAACTGATCAGATCTAAAGATGTTATATTTTTCGAAAACTCGTCATTTTTTGATTTACCACAAGTAGAATCAAATACGCTCGAAAATGAGGTACTGATTCTGGATGAAACGGTGCAAGAACGTCTAACAAATCCTGATGTACAAAGGATTGAAATATCAGGAAATGCTGATTCTGAGCACTCCATATCTGAAGGTGAGTCTTCTTCAGTTGTTGGGACTGATGTAAATAGAGCAGGAGATGAACCTAGTGATATCCTTGTAGACGATATAAATGTTGAACGCAGGTATCCACGTCGAGAAAGGAAAACTAGAGAATTTCCAGGCTATATGGTCTACAGAACAACTGAAAATAACATGCATGATGATGATCCAGCTACAGTTCATGAAGCACTGACTAGAACTGACAAGCACAAATGGCTTGATGCGATGGCTGCAGAATATAATTCAATACAACAGAATAAGGTCTGGACACTTGTTGAAAAGCCAGTAGATGTATCTCCTATTCCATGCAAATGGGTCTTCAAAGTAAAAAGAGATGCAAATGGTGAAATTTGTAGATACAAGGCGAGATTGGTTGCCAAAGGTTTCAAACAGATTCATGGTATCGATTATGATGAAACCTTTGCACCAGTTGTTAGGAAAGAGACAATTCGAATGCTGATAGGTATTGCTGCTGAATTACACCTCTCCATTGATCACATGGATGTGAAAACTGCATTCTTGAATGGTGATTTACAAGAAGTGGTATATATGAGACAACCCGAAGAATTCATTGACCAAGATAATGAGGATAAGGTGTGTTTATTGCACAAAGCTTTGTATGGTCTCAAGCAAGCGGCCAGATCATGGAATAGAAAAATTCATGAGGAATTGATCAGGCTAGGATTCAAACAATCTGCTCATGAATGTTGCATTTACCATAAAATGACAGAGAAATATAGTCTGATGATTGCTATTTATGTTGATGACTTATTGATCTTCTCGAGCGATGATAATGAAAAACAAAGAATCAAAAAGAAATTGATGTCAATTTTTGATATGCAAGACCTAGGAGATGCGAAATATTGTTTAGGAATCCATATCATCAGAGATGGAGATAATATTTCGATAAATCAGAAGAAATACATTTTAGAAATCCTTGACAGATACAAGATGATGGACTGTAATCCTGTAAAAACACCCATGGAATCGAAATTGAAACTATGTTTTCCTGAAACTAGAGATATACCGGATGTGCCATATCAGAGTCTCATTGGTGCACTTATGTATTTAGCTATATGTACTCGACCTGATATATCTTTTGCAGTGAATTCATTGAGTCAATTCAATTCGAACTATTCAATCGAACTGTGGAAGCATGCAAAGAGGATTCTAAAATACTTAAAGGGAACTATCGATCAAAGTTTGGTATTCAGGTCTACTGGAATTAGCCTTATGGGTTTTGTTGATGCTGATTGGGGTGGAAATGCTATAGATAGGCGCTCATTCAGTGGATTTGTTTTTGTTTTTGCTGGGGCTGCAATTTCTTGGGGTAGTAAGAAACAACGTTCAGTATCTTTATCCAGTACCGAATCTGAGTACATTGCACTATCAGAAAGTGCAAAAGAGGCAGTATATTTGCTTAATTTGCTAGGAGAACTCACAGAATGTTCTAAACCAATGATCATTTATAATGATAATCAGAGTGCCATAAAATTGTCAACTAATCCTGTTTTTCATAGCAGGACTAAACATATTGACATTCGGTTTCATTTTATTCGTCAATGTATTGAAGATAACAACATAAGTCTCAGATACATGTCAACTAGTCAGATGCCGGCCGATATGATGACAAAAGCATTGTGTGGATCCA